CTCTCGTGCCACGTACTTCCGGTACACGTGGCATAAAAAATCTATTATAATTTAGCCATCTCTATTTCTTTGTACATAATATCTAATAAATCTTGTTACACACAAACTCTACCAGAAATTAAGAMAAATACAGTCCACATTAGCCTGTCTCGTCCATCTCCTATACGTTCTTTTGTAGTTTATTCTCGAACAGTACTTAACTTATTTATCTCTTCCCATTAGAATAAAATAATCTAATTAATAAAATTTCTTTCTATTTAAATAAAAGTATTTTACTTATTCAGTCTTTTTCTATTGAAATGAAAGTACTCATATCATTTAATTTCTTTCTATTAAATTATAAGTATTAAACTCATCAAATCTCTTTCCATTTAAATGAAAGTACTCAACTTATTAAATCTCTTTCTATTTGAATCATAGTACTCAACTCATAAAATCTTATTTCTAATTAAATAAACGTACATTTCTTAATTAATATCTTTCTACTTAAAAAAGTTACTTAAAAATTTAAATCTCTCTCTACCTAAATGGAAGTAATAATCTCATCAAGTTTCTTTTCATTTGAAAAAGGTACTCAACAAAAAATGCAACAGCAACTGCAACTGCATCTGCACATGCAACTACAAATGCCACGCCAACTAAAAATGCAAAATCAAATGCACCAGCAGTAGCACATTTATCAGCAGCTACACTTGCTGGTGCAACTGCAACTAGACTTGCGCTAGCAACAGCTAATGTAACAGCAACAGACAACGCATTAGCAAATGCAGGTAAAACTGCTTTTTAAACTAAAATTTTAACCGCAATCGCTGCTGCAACTACAAATGCTACTTTTTCCGCACATGCATTGCGCATGCAACTGAACTTGCAGCTGCTACCTTAACTGCTACTGTATATGAAACAATAAAAGCATCAGCGACAGCAACTGCAAATGAAAATGCAATTACAATAAAAACAGCATAAGCAGCTTTACAGGACATAAAACTGCCAATGTTAATGCAGCAGGAAAGGCAACTGTAGCAGCACATTCGATTGCAAGTACGCGAGCAACTTTTACTGCAAATGCAACTGCAACTGCTTTTGCAACTGTAAATACTGCTGCTACTGCAAAAGCAACAGCACTTAAAAGTAGAAATACATCTGCAACTGCAACTGCAAATGCAAATGCAATTCCCAATAAAACATATAAGGCAGCTTCACTGCACATACAACTGCAAATGCCACTGCTACTGCTCATGCAACTACACATTGAACTGAATTTGCAAATGCATATGCTTCTTGACTTATATTTCCAACAGCAAATGCAAATAAAAATGGAATTTTACATTCACCTGCCACGGAGTCTGCTACTTCACATGCAACTGCAACAGCTCAACACCTGCAACGGTAGCTGCCACTTTATCTAAAAATGCTACTACAGCTGCCACTTCATTTAAAAATGCTACTGCAGATGCATAATAACCTGCAAATACACTAGCAACTGCATCTGTAAAAGCAACTTTACTGCACATGCAACTGCAACAAAAAGTGCAAATGCAAATTCAAATACAACAACTTATTTCTATGCAACAACAAATGCACATAAAGCTGCTACTGCCACAGGAACTTTTATTGCAACTGCAACTTTAAATGCAAATGAAAATGCAAAAACAACTGCCATTCTCACTGCAATTTTACCTGCAGATGCCACTGCAACTGCACATGCCATTGTAACTGCTACTGCAGCTGCACATTTATTTGCAACAACAAATTCACGCTTAACAAAAATTGCAAATAAAACGAAAATTGCAAATGCAACGGAAATTGCTAATAATACTAAAAATGATACTGCAGCTGCATATACAAATTTACTTAAAACTGCAACAGCAGAAGTAACAGCATATGCTACAAAAGCTGCACATAAAGAAGCCACTGCAACAGACGATTCCACTTCCTCTAGAGCTGTTTATAAACATGCAACAGCTACTGCACTAGCTAATATTTTTTTATATGCTACTACATCAGCACAGGCAACTGCACTGCAAATGTAACTGCAACTGCAACAGCTACTGCAGATAAAACTATAAATGCATCTGCACATGTAACTGCAAATATAACTGCACATTTAAATGCAAACACAAAAACATATTTCTATGCAACTGCAAATAAACATGCAACTTTTACTGCAACAGGAAAATTAATTGCAACTGAATCTACATATGCAAATATAAATGCATAAAAAACTGCAACTTCAACTGTACATGCTACTGCTACCTTAACTGCAACTTCTACTGCAGATGCCACTGCCACTGTACAAGCTACTACAACTGCGACTGAAGCTTCACATTTAAATGCAACTGAAAAATCACCTGCAACTGATATTGCAAATGCAAATGCACATGCAACTGCCACTAAAACTGCACACACATATGCAAATACAACAACATATTTCTATGCAACTGCAAACTGGCATGCCACTGCTTCTGCAACACGAACTTTTATTGCAACTGCAACAACATATGCCCAAAAAAATGCACAATCAACTGCAACTGCACCTGCACATGCCTTTGCAATTACAAATGCATATGTTACTGCTGAGCACAGGCAAATTTAACTGCTACTCTAAATGCAAATGCAAATCCAACTGCAGCTAGAAAGGCCACTGCAACTTAAAATGCAATTGCTACTGCACATGTAGCTGCAACTGCTACTTTAGCGGCACATGCTGTGCTACTGTAACTGCACATGGATGTTGACTAAAATCAGAAAATGAAACAGCAACTGCAAATGTTTTTTCGCTTGCAGCTGTAACAGATACTGCAACTGCAATTGCAAAAAAAATGGCAAATGCTACTTTTACTGCTACTTCACATGCAAATGCAACTTTTACTGCAACTGCACATTCTACTAAAGCTAATATTGCACATGCTTCTTAACTTATATTTGCAACGGTACCTGCAAATGCAAATGAAACATCACATGCAGCGGCAACGGAAATTGCAACTAAACATGAAACTGCCACTGAACTGCACATGCTTCTGTAACTGCTACAACATCTAAAAATGCTACTGCAGCTGCATATTAAACGGTAAATAAACCGGTAACTGCTACTGTACATGCAGTTATACGGCAAATGCTACTGCTACTGCACAGAACCTGAGAATGCAACTGCTACTGCAACTGCTATTGTACATTTCACTAAAATTACTAAAGTTCATGCATATGACACTTCAAGTACATTATAAACTAAACACGGCAAATGCAACTGCAACTGCAAATTAAACAGCATCTGCAAATGCAAACACACGCGCAGCTAAAAAGAAAATTGCAACAGCACATGCAACTGCAACTGCACACGCAACTGCAGCTTTACATAACATTGCCACTGAATCTCTAATGGCAAACTTCAAAGCAACTGCAACTGTATATGCAACTAATGATTTAACAGTTATTGCCACTGCTAATGTAGATGCACCTGCCACTGCCAATAAATTTGCATTTACAACTGCACATGCAACTGCATTGCTCAGGCAACTGCAACTGCAACAAAAACTGCACAAGCTGCTGCAGATTTAACTGTAAATAAGACTGAAACTAAAACTGGTAATGAAAATGTCTATGCTAATGCACAAGCAAATGCAATTGCAAAAGCTAATAAAACTGCACTCGCAACTGCTCTGTAAATTTTACTGCAACTGTTACTTCAACTTAAAATGCAGCAGAACCTGCATATTTCATTGCAAATATACCCGCAGCTTCCACTATAACTGCTACAGCAACAAAACAATTAACTAAAAATCCAAATACACATGTCTATGCAACTGCAAATGCACTTGCAACTTCTACTGTAACAGTAACTTTAAATGCAACAAAAACTACATTTCCAAATAAAAATAAACAAGCAACTGAAACTGCAACTGCAACTGCAACTGCAAATGCAACTGCTACTTATGTTTTATATTATATTTCTTTTTATTATTAACTGTAACTGTAACTGAAACTGCACTTGCAACTAAAACTATTACCGCACATCAAACTGCTACAACAACTATACACAACACTACAACAGAAAATAGCACTTAAAGTGCATATAAAAAGTTTTAATACAATTTTTTTATTTTTATGTGAGCGAGCAAAAGAAAATATAACCGCACAAGCGAATGAAACAAAAACTCTACATAAATATGCATATGTAAATCCACAAAAAACTGCAATAAAAGTGCAACTGCAATGAAACATGCACAAGCACCTGCAAATTTACATGCAACTGCTACTGAAACGGTAACTTTTAAGGATACTACAATTACATATGTAAATAAAAATGCATTAGCAACTGCCACTGCAAGTGAAAGTGCAACTGCCACTGCAGCATCATATGCCTATGCAAATGCTACTGTAACTGCACATGCAACTGCAACTGCCACTGCAAATGCAAATTTACATATATATGCAACATAAACTGCAAATGCACCTTCGAATAGACATGCTACGTCAACTGCGACTACTACTGCACATAAAACAGCAACAGCAACTGTAATAGAAAATGCAACTGCAAATGCAAATTTACATATATGTGCAACAAAAACTGCAAATGCACCTCCGAATAGACATGCAACGGCAACTGCGACTACTACTACTGCACATAAAACAGCAACTGCAATTGTAACAGCAAATGCAACTGCAACTGCTACTTTACATACAAATGCACAGGCAAATAAAACTTCATTCTTATATGTAACTGCAACTGCTTCGGCAATTGCAATTGCTGCTGATACGGCACTTTAAAAACCAAATTAACATAAAACTGCAAAAAAAACGACTACTGCAGCAAGAGTAGAACCTGGAAAAAAACATGTTTCAGCAACTGCAAATAAAACTGCAACTACTACGGCAAAAACACATGCCACAGTAACTAAAATTTCATCGGAACTTGCTACTGCAACTACAACTGCAACAAAAACTTCTTATAAACCTGCAACTGTAGCTGCCTTAGGCAATGAAATAGAAACTACACATACACCTGCCACTGCATAAGAAACTTAAACTTAAACTGCAACTGCAACTGCACGTGCAATTGCAATATCACATAAAATAACAACTGCAACAGAAATTGCAAATTAACCTTTAGCAGCAGCTTTCTCTGCAACTAAAACTGCAACTGCTACTGCAACTGCACATGCACCTGCCACTAACTACGCAACGGCAACTTCTACCGCAACAGCATATGATAATGCAATAGCAGTTGTTTCGAGAAATGCACACAAACCAACACCTGCAAATGCAACGGTTACAACAACTACAAAGAACATGAAACTACAACTCTTACTGCTACAGCAACTTTAACCGAAACTACAACTAAGCATGCACATTCAACAGGAACTGTAACTAAACTATGACTGCCATTGTCACTGCAAAGGCACCAGCACTTGCCCATGAAACGGCAAAAGAAGCATAAACTGCACATGCAACTGCAAATTCATGAACAATTTAAGATGCAACAGTTACGGCACTTGCATTTGCAAATGCTACTTTAAATGCAACTAACAATATAACTGCACAAGCACCAGAAACTTAACATGCGACGACAAGTGCCACTTCAGCTACAACCGAAACTGCAACTGCAATTGCAAATGCTACTGCAACTGCAACTACAACTGCTACTGCAATTGCAAATTTACCTGCAACTGCAATAGCATCTACACCCGCACATGCAACAGCTACTTCTACTGCACATTCAACTTTAACTACATCTTTACCTTTCACTGCAAATAGAACTAAAAATAAAACTGCAACTGAAACTGCACAGGCAAGTGCAAAGAACCATGCAATGACAACTTTAAACAATACTGCACATACAACTTTGACTGCTACTGTAAATGCAGAAGCAACTGCACAGGTAACTGATAATTATTAAACTGCGTATTTAACTGCTACTGCACATACAACTGCAATTGCAAATGCCACATCAACTGCCTCTGCAACTTTACATGCACTAGCGAATGATTATTTAACCGCAACAGCACATTAAACTGCTACTGCAACTGCAAAAGAGGCTGCTATTTAACATGCATTGGCAACTTCATCTTCCACTGCATATGCTACATCTACTGCACATGCAGCAGAAACTGAAACTGCAACGGTCAATGCAAATGCACTGTCCCTTGCAACGTCATATGCAGCTACTACTGCCTTAGCAACTGCACTTGCAATAGCATATAATGCTGCAAATAAAAAAGCAACTGAACTTGTCCTTGCAATAGCAAATACAACTTTAAATTCACAAAAACCAGCACAAGCAACAGCTGCTTCAACTACAACAGCAAACTCAAAAGAAACTGCATTTTATTACTGCCTGCTATTTCACAATCAAGGGTAACTGAAACTGTTACCGCACTTTTAACTGCCACTACAACTACACACGCAACTACAAAAGCAAATGAAACTTTAATTAAAGATAATATTTTTCAATGCAACGAATAAATTTTTAAATGTTTTGACTACTAAAAATTTAACCGCAAAAGCAACTGCAACAAAAACTGCACATAAAAATGCAACTGCAAATCCGCAAACAACTTTAATTTCAAATGCAATTGCCACTGCGAATACACATGCACCTGCAAATGCACATGCAACTGCTACTGAGACGGAAACTTTTAAAAAAACTGTAACTACATATGTAAATGAAAATGCATAAGCAACTGCTATTGCAAATGCCACTGCCACTGCACATAAAACTGCAACTGCAACTGCCACTACAGTTGCTCATCAATCATCTACTGCAAATTGCATCAGCAACTAAAACTGCAACTGCAACTGCAACTGCAGAATTTGCTAATTCTGCAAATAATTCTGCTACTACAACAACATATAAACTTGCAACTGCTCATGCAACAGCTACTCAAAATTCCTGAGCAAACGCAACTGCAATTGCAACTGCTTCCGCAACTGCACATGAACTTACACTTGCACATGCCTTAAGCACTGCCATTGCAATAGCACATGCAACTGCAGCTGCTGTTCTTGCAACTGAACGTGCTACTGCTACTATAACGGCACATGCGAAAGACCTTTTAAAAAAAATTCAAACCCAAAAAACACATGCAACTACAACTGCCACGTCAACTGCACATGCACTTGCAACCGACCATACAACAGCAAAAGCAACTCATAAAAACCATGTCACTAAACATTTAAAAAAAGATTTTACAAGCATCAGCAACAGCAATTGCAACTTCCAATGTTACTGTAAACGCCACTGCAACTGCTACTACATAACAATGTATAACCTTACATGCAACAGTAAGGGCAACTGCTAAGGTAAATGCACAAGCAGTTTCACATACCTCAGCCGCTGCATATACAACTGCTACTGCTACTTTAAATAACACTGGAAATAAAACTACACATGAACCTGCTAACGACGGTGACACGGTAACTAAAAACCCACCATAACTGCAAATGCAACTGCCAGTTCACCTGCCATTGCACATGCTACAGCAACTGATACTACTCTTGCACATGCAACTCCAACTGCACATAGACAAACACAATTACATGCATGCGTTACAGAAACTTTAGCTGCAAATGCAACTAAACTGCAACTGCAAATGAGCTTGCGACTGCAATTGCAACAGCAAAAGCAACTGCAACTACAACTGATGCTGCAATTGCAACTGCAACAGCAAAAGCATATACTCCTAAACCTGCTTATTTAACAGTTACTACAACTGCTACAGAAAATGTATTTGCAGCTACTACTGTAATAGTAGCTGCACAGTAAGCTGCAGAAGCAACTTTACAGTCAACTGGAAATTCCACTAAACTGAAATTGTACATGAACTAGCAACCAACTATGCAACAGCAACTTCTACTCTATCAGCACATTCCGCAGAAACAGAACAGTAAACTGCAATATCAACTCTAACTGCAACTGCTACTGTACTTGCAACTAGACATGAAACTACAACTGCAACTGCCATTGCACATGAAACTTTTATACACATATTTGTACCGAAAATTTCTCTTATATATATTCAGAAAATTTTACAATTTTGTAAATTTTGCTACTAAAAACTAAACAGATTAGATGTCTAGTTTACTACAATCGATTTTTGTCAAAAAATAATTATAATCTACACGTAATGTAAACTTAAATAGTTGCATTTAAATGATTTTATCTTCTTCTAGGACTGAAGTGGTAAAAATGTAAATGATATAAGCTCAATTTCTCAGACTTTATACTTTTTAATTGCAAGTATACGCTTCAAAGATTAAAAGCCAACGATTTATAGCTTTTGTTAAATAGAACTTCTGTAGAAATCTGACAGTTTTATACAAAGATTAAATCCAGAAAGCATCGACAATTCCTTTTCAATATATTCAGAAATTTTTAGCGACGGTTAAAATGTGCTATTAGAAACAAAACAGATTTGATGTAAGCTTTACTAAAATCGGTTTTCGTCGAAAAAGAATTAAATTCTACACGTAACTCGCTCAAAAATAATTGTATTCTAATGATTTTTTCTTTTTCTTGGACTTCTGTAGTCGAAATATAAATTATAAAAGCTTAATTTTTTTGTAATTTATACTTTTTATTCGTAAGTATACGCTTTAAGGCTAAAAAGCAAACGTTTTATACCTTCTGGTAAATAACACATCTTTAGAATTCTGATTGTTTTTTACTAAGTTTTAATCCTAAGAGCAGCGAGGATTTCTTTTTAATATAATAAAAATTTTTGGAGACGGTAAAAAATGTGTTTTTAAAAACAAAACAGATCTAAAGTCACTTTAACTACAATGGATTTTCGTAGAAAAAAAAATGAATTTTAAAGGTAAAGTATAACAAAATATTTTTATTAAAATGACTTTTTCTCTATCTGGAACATTTCTTTTAAATATACTAAGAAATTTTCACGGCAAGAAAAATTTATGTTTAGAAACTAAAAAGATTTAATGTCAGGATAACTACAATGGATTTTAGTTTAATAAGAATTAAATTTACCACAAAAAGTATACACAAATTGTTGTTTTAAAATGAGTTTTTCTTTTTTTGGACTAAAGTTGTCATAATATTAAAACGTTCTTTTCAGCATAAAGCGTATACGCTCCGTGCTGAAATTTCCGTTTAAACTAGAGCAAAAAGGCATACGCCAGAAACAATTGTAAATCGTAGGGCGCATACGTTCCACGCAGCTTAAACGAAAAGTCTTTAAATAACTATCTAGCAGGGAACGTTTTATGGATTTTAGCTTAATTTTTTCGGAATAAATACTTTTTATTTGTAAGAATACGCTTTAAAATATGAATGCAAACCTTTTATAGCTTTAAGTCAATAGCATTTCTTTAGAAATCTCATAGATTTCCACTAAGATTCTTTAAAAAAAACAGCTAAAATGTTTTTTAAATATATAAAGATTTTCTTAGAAATAATAAAAAAAGTTCTGTATGATACAAATAGATAGATCGTTAGGCTAACTACAATCAATTTTTAAAAAAAAAAAATTGAATTCTACACGTAAAGTATAACAAAATATTTGTACAAATATGATTTTTTCTTTTTCATAGACTGCAGTGGTCGGAATATTAACTTGTTTTTTGCTGCGTGGAGCGTATGCGCATTGCGCATAACTTTCTGTTTTAGCAAGAACGGAAAGGAATACGCAGGAAACAAAGTAAATCGTGGGGCGTGTGCGCTTTCTACGGCTTGAACGGAAAGTTTTTGAAAACGATCTATAAGGAAACGTGTTAATGATATCAGCTTAATTTTTTCGGACCAAATACTTTTTATTCGTAAGTATACGTTTCAGAGTTTAAAATCAAACGTTTCATAGCTTTATTCAAATAGCATTTTTTTAGAATTTTTTTAGTTTAATTTAGGATTATATCTAGAATAAAGCAAGAATTTCTAACAAATATATAATGAGTTTTTCAGATATGGTAAAAAATGTTCTATTAGAAACTATGCAAGTAAAATATAAAATAACCAGCAATCAATTTTTGTCAAAAAATAATTAAATTCTAAACGACAAAAACCAAAAAAAATTTAAAGAAAATGATTTTTTTATTTTTTTGACGGCAGGGGTCAAAATCTATAAGATGTTTGCTAGAATTTTTTGGAACTAAGACTTTTTATTTGTAAGTATACGCTTTAAATATTGAAAGAAAACGTTTTATAGCTTCTGTTAAATAGAACTTCCTAAGAAATCTGATAGTTTTAACTACAATTCAATCTAAAATGCAGCAAAAACTTTATTTAAATATATGGTAAAATTTATAGCGACTGTAAAAATTTGCTACTAAAAAATAAACAGAATTGATTTCAGATTGACTACAATCGAGTTTCTTCGAAAAATACCCAAATTCGTCACGTGAAGTAACTATAAAAAGTTGTAATAAAATGATTTTTCCCTTTTTTTGACTGCAGTAGTCGAAATATAAGTGATGTTGTGTAAATTTTTTCAGACTTAACACGTTTTATTTGTAAGAATACGCTTTAAAACTTAAAAGAAAACGTTTCATAGCTTCTGATAAATAGCACCTCTTTAGAAATCTGATAGTTTTCAACTATTATTAAATCCAGAAAGCAGCAAAAATATCTTTTAAATATATTAAAAAGTTTTTAGCGACTGTGAAAATGTGCTTGTAGAAACTAAAGAATATTTATGTCATGTTTTCTACAATCAAGTTTTGTCGGAAGAGAATTGAAATCTACACGTAAAGTGACCAAAAAAATTTATAATAAAGATATTTTTTCTCTTTTTCTTAACAGCAGTTCTTAAATTTTAATAATATTTGCAAGATTTTGTCAGACTTAACAGTTTTTATTTGTAATTATACGCTTTAAAACTTAAAAGAAAACGTTTTAGAGCTTTTGTTATATAGCACTTCTTAAGAAATCTAATTGTTTTTAACTAATAAATAATCCAAAAAGCTGTAATAATTTCTCTTCAATATTTTAAAATATTTCTTGCAGAGGTAAAAATGTGCTTTTAGAAAATAATCAGAATGGGTGTCAGGTTGACTATAATCGAGTTTTAAAAAAAAAAATTAAATTCTTTACGTAAAGTAACAAAAAATAATTCTAATAAAATAATTTTGCCTTTCTTTTTGACTGCAGTGGGTAAATAATAAGTGATATTTGCAAGATTTTTTAGGACAAAACACTTTTTTTATGTAAGTATACGCTTTAAAGCTTGAAAGAAAACGTTTAATTGCTTCTGTTTAATAGCACTTTTTTAGAACTTTATTATTTTTAACCATGATTTAATCCAGACAGTAGCGAAAATATCTTTCAAATATATTAAAAAATTTTAGCGACGGTAAAATTGTGCTATTAGTAACTAAACAGATTAAATGTCCGGTTGTCTACCATAGAGTTTTGTTGAAAAATAATTGAATTCCACACGTAAAGTTGCAAAAAAAGTTTATTATAAAATTATTTTTTCTCTTATGTTTGACTGCAGTAGTCGAAATATAAATTAATTTTGCAAAAAAGTTTGGGATTTAACACTTTTCATTTTTTAGTAAACGTTTAAAAACTTGAAAGAAAACGTTTGAAAGCTTTTGTTATATAGCACTTCTTTCAAAACTGACAGAAATTAGCTATTATTTAATCCGGAATGCAGCGAAGATTTCACTTAAATATATTGAAAATTTTTTAGCGACGGCAAACATGTTCTATTAGAGACTAATCAGATTAAGAGTCAGGTTGCCCACAATCGAGTTTCGTCAAAAAAGAATTGAACTATCCAAAGTAACAAAAAAAATTGGTAATAAAATGATTTTTTCTCTTTTTTTGGTCTGCAGATGTTAAATTTAAATGACGTTTTCTATATGTTTTAGTACCTAACACTTTTTATTTGTAAGAATACACTTTAAAGCTKAAAAAAAAACGTTTCATAGCTTCGGATAAATAGCACTTGTTTAGAAATCTGATAGTTTTCAACTATTATCCAGTCTAGAAAGCAGCGAAAATATTTCTTAAATATATTGAAATATTTGAAGCGACTGTGAAAATGTTCTTGTAGAAACTAAAGAATATTGATATCAGGTTTACCACATTTAGTTTTGTCGAAAGAGAATTGAATTCTAAACGTAAAGTGACCAAAAAAATTTATAATAAAATGATTTTTCCTCTTTTTCTTGACTGCTGTTGTTAAGATAATATTAATATAAGCTAGATTTTGTCGGACCTAACAGTTTTTATTTGTATGTATACGCTTTAAAATTTGAAGAAAACATTTTAGAACTATATTGGTAATTATACGCTTTCAAACTTAAAAGAAAACGTTTTAGAGCTTTTGTTATATAGCACTTCTTTAGAAAT